TGACTAAAACTTATAAAAAAATTTGAGTTGTTATTCAATTCCACAAGTAAGATATAACGTATTCTAAAAACACTTTATTGTGTGATTTTCACTAGATAGTTTTACCAAAACGCAACACTTGTTTCGCCATACGTTTCGAATATGTTAGTTATGGATTTGCATCAAGTATCGGCCTATTCCATCATATAGTAAGATATAAAGCTGCATCTTTAAACAACAGTTTATTTTAAATTGCCTAGTGTTCATGGTAATGAACACTAGGCAATTTAAGTGAGGGCCAGGCAACGTATAGGAAATTTGAAGTGAATTTTTTCTCCTATTCAAGTGACTATTATTTATAGCATGTTTTCTGAACTTTTTCGGGTCAAAGTCCAAGGCGAGAGACTCCTACAAACCTGTGTTACTTCAACATTAAATTTTGACTCAAGTCTCAATCTTTATATGTGAAACTGTATATCCTATCTATAACAATAAAAACAATTCAGAGACTGCCTAGCTACTGCTCCTAGCAAACTAGTGCCCAAGTTATTATTATTCTAATTTCAAGCAGAAACAAATGCCAAAGTTTAATATAATATAAAAAAACTCGCATATTGTATATTTTGGAATAATTATTCGAAAATGTATTTTCAGTCAGAAATTGGCATTTAGCGATGAAGAAAGTGAAAGAAGCACCAAAAGGGACACTAGAAGGCATCAGCAGCAACGAGGACACAGAGACGAGCGTAGTGAAAGTCATGATATTGACAACCAGCGGCAGTGGAGCAGTTCACGATCAAATACATCGAGGGGACGATCTTCTGAGGAAGAAGACATTTGGACTCAAAGACGCAGTCAAACCGATAAGGAAGTCGAAATAGCAGTGCAGAGGGCGAAGCAAAGAAAGGAGGAAGAAGAAAAGAGGTTCAGTGAAGAAAGAAGCCAAGCTGCAGCCAAAAAACTGTCTGAACTGAATGAAAGAATCCAGAAGCGGGATAGGGATAACCAAGAAGGAATCGGTACAATCAATCCCAGTACAGTACCACCCAAGCCTATCAACCATGTAGATATTCCATTACCGGACTTTCAGAAGGACAAAGAACGTGATAATAAAGATCCTCCTCGAGAAAGAGATAATAGATCACGGACTCCTAATGATACTGTAGAAGATAAAAACCAATCTGTCACTCAGGGCAGTTCGTTTAGACAATTAACACAAATCGAAGGAAAGAATTTCCCAAGTAGAAAGCACATGAAACCTTCTGATAGAGAGCCAAGAGATAATAGAGAACAGAATGGCCCAAGTTTCTCAAAACATTTCAAAGAAGACCTTCCTCCGAGATTCCTCAAACATCAACGGAATAATAGTAACTCAAATCTTCAAACTCATCAACAACAATCGCAGCAGCAGCAACCTCATCAACAGTCATCACATCAGCAACAACAGCAGCAGCAATATCATCATCAATCTTTTGATAATCGATGGGCTTCAAATAACCAAAATAATCTGAAACACCAGTCAAATTCAAGTCAAAATCTGGTTCATAGCAGAAGTGCAAGGCAAGATAGTCTTGAAGTGGAAAGGGAAGAAGAGCAAAAGGAATACAGGAGACAAAGCTCTGAGGATAGTTTCAGGAGCTCCTACCATTCCCAAGATAATACTCCAAAACCTGTTCAGGAAGCTGCTTATCAAGAAGAGGGTCGGGAAAATAGACATCAAGGACATCATGAGCAGCAGTTCAATCGACGGGAACAGGAAGAAAATACTTGGCATAAGGAGGTTGAGAAAATGGATAATAAGAAACAAGATCACAGTACTCGACTGAGCCATGAAGATTGGGGGGAAAAGAGAGAAAAAATGCGTGAGGAAAACCCTGACAGATATGAGAGAGATCGTCAACAGAGACCTGATAATCGGGATATTCGTTCAGCACGACATTCCCGTGAATCAGAACCAAGGGAATACATGGGCTCTTGGTCTGAATCAGCATACGAGGAGAAACGTAGGGACCATATTCGAGAAGATCGCCGGGCAGTCCCAGGACCTATCACAAAGGAACGAATTGAAGCTGATGATATGCGTAATGAAAAGAGGAATTTAACTCAGCTGAAACGCGGACAACCAGTGGAAGTTAAATCGGAAATTAAAAAGTATGAGAAAGAGGAAGAGCAAAAAAAAGAACCACAGTTCATAAGTGCTTGGGCAGATTCTATACCACCCCCTTCGGAAGAAATTCAGAATAAGGTTGTTGTTGAGGAAAAAAAAACTGTGGACACACATAAACCTGTACCTAAATCATCAGTAGAACAACCGAAGAAGCAGGAAAAAAGTGATGAACATAATACAAATCGTAATCGACCCTATGGTCAGAAAAAAGGGTGGGGTAATGTACCCAATGATTATCATACACCAAGAGGGCAGCCTTGGCAGAGAAGACCTTCTAGCCGTGGACAGAAACATGGTGGTAGAAACACGGAATCATACATGACTACTGATTCTGATGGGTCTGCAGAAGATCATTCAGTCCAACAGAAACTTGAAGCTCAAAAAATTGAAACAAACGACCAAAAGAATTCAAATCCACCTAGAAAAGCGGAGAAGGACGATAAAATTCGTGAAATCAGGCAAGAAAAATTTGTGGGCGAGCAAAAGAAACAGGAAAAGTCTGATAAAAGAGATAGTAATTATGTACCTCGAGGTGAGCCATCTCGACACGGCAGGGGTGGTGGAAACTTTAGATCTGGTAGAATGGGTATGGGTAAGAGAATAGATGGGTACGGCCCTCCTCCTGCTAAGAGTCCATTTGGAGGACACCAAGAGGAAAGGGAAAGGGAAAAGAAGGTTTTCAGTGACGAAGCTAACTCTTCTGAAAACCTAACGGTTGTTGAAGATAAGACGAAGCAGAACCAGCAAGCACTTGCGGCAGGTATTATTGGGAATCGAGCTGAGCCAGCACAGAGCGATGATAAATCCAAGTCAAAAAGTAAACCTGATAGTCAAAAAAACAAACCCAAAATGGGTGATAAAGTATGTGATGCTACGGAAAATTCTGATGAGAAAAATAAAGATAATCGGAAGATGCAGGGGAAAATGCAGGGTAACAGATCCACATCAAATGTAAACCGTGGTGGAAGAAGCTCTGCTCCTGCATCACGTTTAGGTGCGGATCGAAGGTACGATTCCAACCGCAATGATAATACCCGACAAGATACTAATCGAAATGAAAACAGGAATGATACTGCACGTAGTGATACTAGGCACGACACTACTCGCACTGATACTAGGCACGAGGCTCCTCGCACTGATAATATCTGGCAGAACTCCAATGGTTCTTTGAAAAAGGATGACAAGTCAAATGATCATAATGCTCATACAAATGTGATTTCTGACATGGCTGCAAAGAATCGAGATGGTGATCAAGTAGAAGAAAAGGAGGAAAAAACTTCAATAAATGGTGATTCTGAGGGTTTCCAAGAAGTTAAAAGCAAAAAAACCGTAAAAGAAAGGCAAAAATCAGCAGATGATAAAGCACCTAAAACAATTCCAAAGAATGACACTGTAAAAGAAATGGTTAAACCTGAACGTGAGCGAAAAAATAAAATTAGTCCCGCCACGCAGATGTTGACACAACAACAAATACAAAGCATTCCTTCTCTGATGGCAACACCTGTAAATCCTCCCCCTGTCTTGCCTCAAACTAAGAGTCAGTTCGATAGGTCTAGGCAGACAAAACTTCCCCCTCGTTTTGCTAAACAGAAACTTCAAAAGCAGGCCATGCAACATCAGCAGCAGCAACATCATGGCATGTGTGATATGAATGATATTAATAAAGTTAGCCAGAACATTAATGTGTATGGTTTAAAAGACACTAGTGTTCCCCCTCCACCGGTTCCGACATGTGCTTGGGATAAACCTTTGGGGCCACAGTTGAGGAATCTGGAACACGACAGTATGCTTGCAGTATCTATGGAAGGTGTTAAAGGGTTAGAAACAACACATTCGCCTTCACATGGAATCAGTCCTTCTAGTGACAAGGTAAGAGTCAAGAAATTGATTTTAAGATTTTACTTGTTTATGAAACTTAAACTTTAAATGATTAAATAACTAACTGTTCTCAGTTTTTCAAATATAATTAAATCAGCATATTATACATTGTAATGTTATTGAAGGTAAATGTATAAACAACTAACTGAAAACTAAACATACTTCACCTACAAAGCACTCAACACCAAACTCCTCCTAATGCCCCCTCTCGGGTTGAGTGCCCTGAGTTGATATCTTACCCACACGGTTACTGTGTGTAGAACATCCCATCTTGTCCATCCACCCCTGCTCCTCCGGAGCGGTCCTCAACTTACTGATAGGCACTTCAGCAAGATTGACATCTGACCTACTACAGTCGAAAGCCAGCCTTTAGATGCTTTTGCTTTCTTATCTGGTATTTTATTAAATCGTGACTATACTTGAGTAATTTATTGCAAAACTAACTGGAGACGAGTGTCTTTAGAACGCGAACAAGAAGTAAATTTGAAATCTGGTTGATAAGTTTTTTTACTTACCGGAGCCGCCTGATTGCGTCAATAAAAATAATAAATTGACAGAAATCGATTTATGAAACAAACTCTGTTATTAATGAACCCGACTGTAGACAGGAGAACCTGAGGAAGGCAGGTAATTCTGTGAATTCATAAAATAACCGTCTAAATTTGCTGCTATTTGGATAGAGCAGTGGCATCTACAACTGTTATCGGAAAATAACAGTTTTGCTTCAGACAGAATTTGATTTGAGAAGTTTCTTATTGTTCATTCATTTATTTATTTCTTCTGTATTTTGCTATATTTTCTATCCCATGATTTTCATTGTCTCCATAAGAATGAATTATTTGTTTTGATTTTCTTAGAACTTCAGCAGTAGTGGATACACATTTAGACTGTTATTGAAACCCTTTCCTATCAGTATTATTTAACAAAACTGCCCCCATGAGGAAAAAGAAATATACAAATTCAATAATACATTAAAAAGCAACTTGAAATTGATGTATGTATAATTGTAGACATATATCAAGGTAAATATGTAAAATTTAAGTAATATTAACTTGAAATTAACATCCTATTGCTACACTGTTTTTTAAAGTATTCAGTGAAATTCCTGTAATGTCATAATTGGGATGGGTGGCTTCTCTCCTACACCTTGACACGGGTGAGAAGTATCCATACTTAGTATGGTGATTAGGGACAGTATAAAGATGATTGTTCCTAGTTGAATAAACAGATACTTGGAGTGAGACTTCATAGATAATTACGATTAATGTCACCTGATATAATTTTGAATAGGTTAATGATATTGAATTGAAGGGGTTATATTTTTAGGAGTGATTAATTTCTGGGAAAGAAAGTTTTTGTCTTTCTACTACTCCATCTTGATACAAAAAAGATGAGGGAATTTTACAAAGGAAGGAAGGAAGTAATAAATTTGACAATAAGTAACTCTATACATGGATATGTAGATCATGCAAAGAAGTAACTTTCAGAAACAAACTGAAAGAAAGTCCTCCTGAAACAGCTACTTTCATATAAACATTGAATTACACGAAAGAAACAATATCTTTCGAAACAAATACACTGAATTATACAGAAGATACTTTTCTCTACTCAGTTTGTATTTCAAACATTATTTGTGGAATAAAATCAGATATCATTCATATGAGTTCTACTTTAAATGAATGGCAATAAATTGCACTTACATGGAACACTGTCATCCTCACTGGTATATTTATTTATTTATTTGACACTTTGGTACATTGAGTACATGTGCTAAGTCATAATTAAAAAACAAAATAAAACTACAGAAGTTGAACAATACAAAACCAATAAATATGGTTCACGTCCACAAACTTTCACAACATAGAAGTATTATATAAAAAAATCGGAGAAGCTCTAGCAAATACTCTCAAAATGTCATCGATGTTTTGCCGTAAGACACTTGCCCTAAGGCTCTTCAGTACCAAATTGGATAACATTATAGAAAATACGAAAAGAAAGGGTGTGGAGATTCGCAATATCAAGTATATCCGAATGATCATATTCTCCAACTGTGAGGCCAGATTTGAAGGCAACAAGCCTGAGGAATCTATTTTGCACTGCTTGAGAGTGTCTGGGAAATTTCATAAACTGTTTAGGAAATATCTTACAATGTGTTTCTTGGAACATATTCAAAATTATTCAACTTTATGGTTCCATTCTAGAAAAGATTTTTTTCCTGAGAACAAATAAAGATTATATTTCAAAAATTTTAGAGAAATATTTTTTGCGTTATAGAAAGGCAAAAAAGTTATAAAGTTTGTCAACACAAGTTTCTCCAACCAAGTTGGTGTCTTCAGGAGATGAAGTAGAGAAAATTGCTGAAGTTCTGGTACAGTGTTTGTGTCAAATAAATTTGGAGTAAATTATCAACTCTTTCCAACATTAAAAATAATAATAAATGTCCTTCAGCCAGTGTACAAAATAGGATTGAGGTACATTAGATTTGTGAGGAAAAAAGGAAGAGTCCATAATAAATTATGAGAGAGATTTGATATTTTCCCAAATATTTTTTTCTGGGTATTTGAGTTGATTGGTTGTCCTTCAGTTCTTTCCTTGTATAATGCCTGCAGGGTATTCAAGTTAGTTTTGTTTTTTTTGCAAAGCTAAGGCAGTATCATCTGCATACTGTAAGATGTAAAGGAGCCTTGTGGAACATTCCAACATAAATTATTTTTGCGTAGTATATATCAAACCAGTTCATTAAAAAACGAGAAAGAAAATTTCATGAGGAAGGTTATTAAATATATTGTAACAATCCTTGAGGAATAGAGAATTCATTTAATAATAATTATAATAATACTTCATTTCCAGTAGGACAATAAAATTGTGTAGGAAGTGTCAATACAATACAAATTTAAAAAAAGAAAAAAGATAAAGATATAACACATACATAGATTGAAACATGATAACTAAAGCCTCACCCAATTTAACTTTACTGATTTTGATTCTATCGTTTGCAGATGATGAACAAAGTTGGTTCACTACAAGATAAAACGCTCCTGGATGGCGCTACTCCTCCAGTAAACACGATCATTTTCGAAAATACTAATTACAAGTCTGCACCAGGAGCTCGTGGTGCTCGAAATGACAAACCTCGATCTAAGTTGGATGAAAGCAATATTGACAATAGTGTTATATCTGGCTTTAACAAACCAACCATGAACGAGTTGTTACAGGGCAAAAGTGATAAATCCGATCCTATTCAATTACCTTTGTTTAAAGAAGATACAGCTGATATGAAGCTGGACTTTTTCAGTGCAGATCTTCAGTTTTCAGACGATAAGGCTTCTAAGAATTTTGTTTCAAAATCTATACATGCAATAACCAGTGGTAATAATACTGTTGATAGTTTGGATTACAAGATAGCGTCGGTGAAAAAAGTCTGGGAGACTTCTGAACAAGAGGGCGAAGACAACCAAATCAATTTTGTTCCTTCACAACTGGATTCTAACGTGTTCAGTCAAGGGAAGGATCCGTCAGATGATAACCATGAAGGATACAGCCCCTCACCTAATCAGACTGCCTCAACTACCACAAATGTATGTAAGGTGAGTGTTACTGGAAAAGGAATCCTCATACCAACTCAGTTGTCGTTCTCCTCTCAGGTGAAACCGACACAGCAAGTCTCAGGAAGTGGGCAAGCTGTCCTGAGTTCTTCTGGTCACCAGCAACATGCAGGAATTATAGCTCCTGGTCTGATGGGAAATCCACTTTCCCCACCTCCGATTCCACCTATTTTGGGAACAGGAGTGGGAATAGGGCCTCAGTATACTGCCAATCAGCATATTGGGTACCAGGTAGGTTCTTATTTGAAGATAGATAGAATTATTTATTCATTATAGCTTTAAATAGAGATTGTTGGGACTAGTCAACAAATTTAAAGGTAGTATTCTTCAAAATTATATAAAAATGTACATAACATTATATAATATGCAAGTTTTATAATAAAAAGTGTTTTAGATAAGGTACTCAGATAATCTGTCTCTTGAATAAATTGAACCTTTCTGATATCACCAAGAATATATGTTGTGTGGCTGTAGCAAATAATGCTTTAGTATAGATGAGAATTTTGTATTACTCCAAAGTGTGAAAATGGCAAACAATACAATACAAATGTATAGTATTACTTTAAACATATACAAATTTAAATTTAATCAAGCAAACGACTTATTTCGTCTCAATAGGTTTGGCAAACAGCTGAAAATATCTACATGTTAAAAAACAGTCCCATTTCTTAACAATGATTGTAACTTTGTGCTTCTAACCCATGATAGGCAAATTAAAGGATATTGAGTAATGCAGTATTTCTAAGTTGTATAATAAGAAGGTATATTCTACTACTCAGTTTTGAAATCATAATTACAATATGTACTTCGCATAATTTCTAATTCATGGTGAACCACGGAATTTGCTTTAATAGACTTGTGTCAAAATCTAAATGAATTTCACTGATCATTCTAGGTGATAAAAGTAGAGTGCAACATGCAGACTTTTAACTGCTTCAATAGTAACAGAATCTGTGTAAATGTGGCCTCATCTGTACACAAAATTTATTTTGTAAAATCTTCATTTGAATTAACTGAGTTAGAAGTTTTAATGTTTGTATCCATTGATAATGATGAGGATAATACTGATCTTGTTGTAGTGTCTTCTTGGAGTTTTATCCCAACACCAAACCATTATTTTTAACACCTCGTCACGTATTTCGATCAACAAGTGATCATCTTCAAGAGGAAGTTTAATCTTTCTCTTCAGATGAAAGGACTACTAGATGAGATTTTTCATATAGAAACTGAAGAGAAAATTGAGATTTCATTAAATACAGTTTAAGTATACAGTAGTTTGAAATAAGTTTTTACTAAAGGAACATTCGTAATATTCTATGCGATTTCAATAAGACTTGTTGGAATGACATACAATTATTGCATCAAACTTTCTTTACCTTTAACTTTTTCAATGGCAACATATTTCAATGAAATTATGGACATTGGTGTACCAAAACCTGCTGAATCCAGTGGAGTAGTCAGAATTTCGATGAACATTCTAAAATTGAAATGTTTAATGACAAACACATTTTGACGTAAACCATAATAATAATTTCATTAGTCTCAATAAACACAGTTTTTAGATACGTCAATACAATTTTTAAAATAGGTTTCAGAGGATAAGATTCGTCAATATAGTTTCTAAAAAATGCTTGTAGATAAATTAGATTTACAAAAAAATATAAGTTAACAAGATAAAATTCTGAACATATAAAAATTGACTAAAATGTAAAGCTATGAGCTTTTACAAATTATAAATTACATAGCTAACATATTATATACACTAGAATCCGGATATAACAACCTTCAAGGGACCAGATATACTATGTCACACTAACCGGACAACGCACAAAACGGATTAATTTTGTGGTAGTAAAGTGTACATTAGTTTATTAGTTTTTCATTTAGCTGTTCGGATTGCTGATCGATAGGTGAATAAAACATTTTATAGGAATCACATATATTTTATTTTTATAGTTCTTAAATATCCTAATGTACAAACATATGTACTAACATTATGTACTGTAATACAAAGAGATAAAATACACATGCAGTGTATGAAAAAACTGTGTTACTGACATAGACTCGCCAGCAATCTTACAACAGACGATGATGTGTCCTTTGAAACGGTTTGTCATGGAACATGTGAAATTTCGCATTTCTGTCTAGCAAAAAAGTTTGCTTTCTCTTGGAGCAGAGCTCCATTAAGGGGTATTTCTGGTCGCGCTGAAGCTTGAACCACTGTAACAATGCCTTATCCAACTGCTCATGAGTAGAAGTCCTTACACGTTTGCATTTTAAAACATTGGCATTGAACAGCGACTCCATCTTATCTTTATTCTTTTTAGTTGTGGATATTGTAGAATGGGATATGCCAAACTCTTTTGTGAGGGCCGCATTTGATTCACCGGCTTCTAATCGGCACTACTTTTTTCTTCAATTGCGAAACACTTTCGCTTCACAGAATTCATTTTGTGGAACCTCTGGCGTTAAATCAGTCTATTAATATCTAATAGTAGTACCTATCGATAGAAGTACCTAGGAAGAGGGAGTGCGCCGAAGTATTGGTGCGCAGATTGTGTAAATAAAACATTGCGCGACGTTTTAATCGGATGTATTATCATGAAAAACGGTCGCTATAAGCGGTTGGTCGCTCAAACCGGAGTCGCACTAAACGGTATATTTTCTCAATAATTAAATATAAAAGTAAACTTGAGTAAACATTATCGTCGCTCTAAACGGATAGTCGTTATAAGCGGAGTCGTTATATATGAATTCTACTGTATATTCCAAGTTGAGTAAAAGTTCGGGAGGTGACCACAAAAGTGTCTCTTTCTTCTTGAATAACATCGAAAAATTGATCAGTTTCATATAAAGGGTGTTGGTTAATATTTCCATCAATCAGTTTTTGAATCTTCTGAATGGAAAGTTACGAAATTCGACAGATAAGGCATTATATAGCCTAATTCCTATATTATCTGTTCTTTTCAACCTATTAGCTGTAGGAACAAGATTTGATTTATTTCTTGTATCATGTTGGTGTACATGTTTGTGAGCAACTTTATTCATCAAGTTTTGTTGAACAAGAAGCAGATTTTCATAGACAATAAATGAATATAGGGTCATTATTTTAAGTTTTACAAATATTGGTCGACATTTTTAACATAATTGGCAGATATGCTTCTTACTGCAGATTTTTGAATGACGAATATTCTATTAAGATGTACATTACATCTTACTGTACATTATTCCAATTGATTATACCATACCTAAGGACTGAATGAAAAAGTGAATGATATGTTGCAAGTGCCGCATTTTGATTTACTATTTTTCTAATTCTTCTGATAGCAAAAACTGTCTTACTAAGTTTAATACACATGCTATTCTATCCATTTCAGGTTGGAATCTATTTGTACTCCCAACAATTTGGTAGAATTTTTGTTGCAAAAACTGTCTTACTAAGTTTAATACACATGCTTTTCTATCAATTTCAGGTTGGAATCTATTTGTACTCCCAAAAATTTGGTAGAATTTTTGTTATCTCGATTTAAGCAAATTGTTTCAAAAGTTAGAGTTTCGGTTTTTTGTTCATTGAGAATCAAGTCATTTGGTGTGAACCATGATCGAACTTTCTCTAATATGTCATTATGGGCCTATTTTATCTATTTTTTTTTTCTCAAGTTTGCATCATCTGCATACAATATAGTTTCTATGACTGACGAGTTCATCACGTGAGGCAGGTCGTTTATATAGATTAGAAACAGAAGTGGCCCCACTATTAACCCTTGTGGCATTCCTCTTAATATTTTTCTTTTTTCACTTTTGGTATTTCCTAGATCAACAATTTGATATCTTTCGTTAAGGTATGACTTCATCATGTCCAGGCAGACACCTCTCAC